TTCACCATCGTACCCATCGTGCATCGCAGGTACAGAATACAGAAAACGCGATGGCACGATGGTACGATGGTGAAAACACGATGGTACGATGGTGAAAACGCGATGGTACGATGGGAAAAATCGCGATGGTACGATGGTGAAATCGCGATGGCACGATGGTGAAAGCGCGATGGCACGATGGTGAAAACACGATAGCGCGATGGTGCGATGGTGAAAACGCGATGGTACGATGGTGAAATTACGATGGTACGATGGTGAAAACGCGATGTAACATCGCGTTTTCACCATCGTACTACCGCGCCATCGCGATTTCACCATCGTACCATCGTGATTTCACCATCGTACCATCGTGTTTTCACCATCGTACCATCGTGCCATCGCGTTTTCACCATCGTACCATCGTGCATCGCGGGTACAGAATAAATAAAATGTCACGATTGTCCAAACGTGTCCAAACGGAACACCGTAAGGTAGTCTTCCAGACACACCGTGGGTAAGCAACTTTGGTCACGTGACCACAAAAGTCAACGTACATGGCCAAAATAGCTCGGCTGGGGCATGTTTTCTACTGATTATTTTTCTATCGAGCCGATTTAAATTCTGCTACATAGCCTACCGACCGAGACATTTCCGTTGTGTAGTCTTACGTTTTGTATTTTCTGAGAACATTCAAAGAATATTTACATATTTGTCGATGACAATGTAGACACTCTCGTCTTTAAGTGATGATAATAACTTTATAAACGTTATGCACTTCAACTCTAAGTAGAATTTCACGTTTTAAAATGTATAAAAGAATATTTTAATGAAAAAAAAAACAAGGTCCCTGCTGTCATTTTTTGTATCTATTTAAAAATGGTCCAACTTACAGAACGTAGATCGCAAATGATTGTTTAGTTGTGCAAAACTTTTAATTAACATTATGATTATCATTGATCAAAACAATAACAGGATAAAACATATTAAGCAATGTATTCATCAATCGCAACTACTCGGCCCTTTCCGCCAGTCTTCGGACACAGAACTGGAACAGTATGAACAGAACGGATGCGGTATTTCGGTCTAACCTACGCTAAGAAACTAAACATGTAAACAAATAGTAATTTAATGTTTGGAGTTGTTGACAAGTTTATTTCCAAAATATGTAGTAAATGTCCACCTAAAATAAGTGAATTCATAGGTACAAAAGCAAACAATACATTATTTATATATTTATTATTATGGCTGTAGAAACCGAAAGTACAAAAAACAAACCTGTTGACATTTAGGCTAAATTAGCATTTTTTTTTTAAAATTGAACATCAGTGCCATATGTAAATAACAAATTGTTGTTAGACATATTTTCAAGCATAAGAGTACCGGGACAGACATAAGATTTCAAATATATACATTCGTTTTTCATTATCTCTGTTTCTGTTTACATCTGACACCACGTGGTAGAAGTACTTTCAATCCGTATTGTTTCATAGGTTATTATAGATAATAGCCGATGCAGTTCCGAAAGTGTATAAATGTATAAAGCTTTTTTTACGAAATAAACTGATTAGTTCCGAGTTCCTCTCTTCTCAAGTGAGTTGTGTTTATTTTCTTCTCACTTTCATTATGGTAACATCAAAGTAGTATCCATTTTCACCGTTTAAGTTATGAACAGGTGTCATTAGCTTCATACCACCAGCCACCACCGGAAGTAGCCGCGCACTTCATTACTGAATCCTGGTCCGGTGTAAAAAACCGACTAGAGTTATCTTTCGGGAACACAGGGCGCGTTGTTGCATTCAAGTCTGGAAGTAAATTCAAAATTGAAAAGCGGTCACAAACAAGGCGTGATTAATGATCACGTTTATTATTCTATATCTAAACGTATTTGTGGATGTCTGTATGGAAACTGTTTATTTGGTTTACATTTAAAAGCGTCTGCCTCGTATGAGATATACAAATTATATTGAAAAATATACACTTTAAAGAAGAAAATGGTTATCCACTAAAATGTGTTATAGTAAAACATGAAATAAAATTATTTATGCTACTACTAATTTCACACAAGAATTGAATTACCTGTATCTGTTGGGTGAACATCAATGGATAATTTGTAGTATTCTCCAAGAAGGTTAAATCTGCTACACTGTGTAGTTCGGCATACCCCCGCGGTTAGAAACATTGATGAATAATTCACTGGGTATGTCTGTTATTTCTCGTATATATCTTAGACCTGAAAATTACAACTCATATTAGAAAGCTGCAATTAACGAACAGAAAGCAAATACCATCTTTCATAAAAAGTTCTTGCGCAAAGATGATATTTATTAACAAGGTTATGCCTTATAATTTGTATGTAATCAAAAAACAATCAAAACTATTCTCTTTCATTTCAAAATATGAGCCGCGCCATGACAAAACCAACATAATGCGACGTCCATGGATCCAGACCAGCCTGTGCATCCGCCCAGTCTGATCAAGATCCATGTTGTTCGCTTTCAGTTTCTCTACTTGTTATAGGGTTTGTAAGCGAACAGCATGGATCCTGATCCATGGCGCGGCTCATATTATCTTTCCTTAATCGTTTTGTTTTTAACAACTCCTTTCAGGTTCAACATTTATTTTTTTTTAAAAAGCATCGTGTACTGAAATTCTGAAACGATCGCTGAATATTTAATAAATAATAGTTGGCACTAAATAAATGTTACTATTCAAATTCCCATACCTAGCCATAACTCACTGACCTATATCTGCTATAATCTTTTCCCTTTGTTGCCGCATGTGGATTACCTTTGATACATAAAGGAAAACAAAGCTTCTGTGAGATACGATTATTCTATACACTTTGACACAGCGTCATAAATAAAACGGTTTTTGTGGCGTAGAAAGTCACATGATCGCGTAACTTTTTGTTATCATTTATTATTACAAATGTATTTGCTGGATGTTTTCGTATTATATATATGTTTACTAAAAAACTCACAATAACTTGATTTTCTCAATGTAATCTATTGCCTACCGGTTACTATAATCATCAAGTGAATGATTAATGTCAGTGATTTCTTAGTATAATTATTATTGTTCCGGCACCTTTAATCATTTATATATATATATATATATATAATATATATATAATATAATAATAAGTACTTAGTAAGAAATAAGTAATTGTAATTATAAGATTATACAAAAAAACCGCACGTTTGTTTTTCCACTTTATTGAGTAATTGCAGAAATTAAACGTGCTATGTCGATAACGCCTTTGTATTATTGTTTTGAAATACTTGCATTTTAATTATTGTTTTGAAATACTTGCATTTTAATTATTGTTTTAAAATACATGCATTTTAATCATTGTTTTCAAATACTTGAATTTTAATTATTGTTTTGAAAATTCAACTGTTTTCAGATATCTCAAAGAATTGTTAACAATATGGTTTGTTCAAGTTGTGAGTGTCTTGTCATTATCGTAAAGTTAGGATGTTTTTCCTTTGTTCTTCCAAACCCATTATCTTTAATACATTTTCAGTGATTTGAAAACTGTATTACGAATACGAATTTTATTAAGCATAAAACAAAATACATTGCTTATAGCCAATTTACAATGATACACATGTACAGTGAGAAAAATAGCAGTTAACAATTATACACAAGTTTTCTGAAGAATACAAGTTTATATGGGAACAAATAAGACTTGTACTTATCAACAATATAGTTTTTCAGAAAAAGTATCAGATTAAGGTATACGTTTATGATTTGCCCAATACAAAAATTTAGCTAAGGCACATATAGTTTTCTTTGAGTCTGACGACAAGATACTATCTAATTTATTCATAGTAGGCCAATGGCAGTAGTATTTTTTAAAATATTTTGTTCTAAGATCTCGGTATTTGGGACACACAAGGAGAAAGTGGTATTCACTCTCTATTTGCTTCATATTGCATGATTTACATAATCGCTGTTCTCTAGGAATGTTTTCGTATCTACCAGTTTCTATAAATAAATTATGGGAAGAAGTTCGAAATCTAGTTAAAGCAGTTCTATATTTACTTTCTTGGACATAATTTCCATTTCAAAAGAATGTTTAAATATACAATATGTTTGTAATCTTGGTGAATTATTGATAGATGCATACCAACTTTGTAGAAAGGTGTCAATTAATCTTTGTTTAATAGTATTGTATGGTATATCTATATCAAACTGATTGTCCCAAATATATGAAAAGCCAAGACTTGACAAGGTGTCTTTGATAAAAGAAGCCCAATTTTTTCCGTTATAATTTCGACCAACATCTGTGTCTGACTTAAGAAGTAAATACGTCTGCTTAACAAGTGATGCATCATTAAGTTTAAGTATTTTTGACCAATATCTTATCATGTTAAGTTTTCTAGTAATATGTAACGGGTAACGACCAAGCTCACCATAAAGTGCTGACAAGTTAGTAGATTTTTTAACCCCTAAGACTCTACGCAAAAATTTAGTATGAATAACTTCTATATCTTTAGCATCGTGCATTCCCCATATCTCCGAATTATAATTTAAAATGGAACCGACTAGAGAATCAAACAATTTACATTTCTGATATGTTGGCAGTTCTATATTTTTAAATACTTTAAACAGGTTATGTAAAGCAAATGAGGCATGTTGAGCTATTCTATTTTGAGTTCTAAACCAATTGCCATTTTTAAAGAGGGTAATTCCAAGGTATTTAAATGATTCTACAAGTTCGATTGGTGTGTTGTAAATATAAAAAATGTGCTGTGTATGCCTGCCTTTTTCAAAAATCATTGCTTTTGTTTTAGATGTATTTATTTTCAAACCCCATGTATTACAATAAGTTTCAATATCCGTTAGCATTGCCTGTAGAGATTCAGGGGATTTAGCAAAAAGTACTTGGTCGTCTGCAAATAAAATGAGAAAAAGCTTAAGTTCGTTAATTGTAAAAATACCTTCTAAATCAGTGTTAATATTGTCTATAAGGTCATTTACGAAGAACATGAAGATCAGAGGTGAGCTCGGATCTCCCTGTTTCAAGCCTATATGAGAATTGAAAAAATCTGAATATGTAGAATTATACCTTACACATGATTTTACAGTAGTGTACATTGATTTCATTGCTTTAACAAATCGCGTGCTAATATTTTCTGCAATAAGCTTTTGCCACAAAAACGATCTATCTATTTTATCAAAACATTTTTCGTAATCAACAAAAATACAATATAACTTATTACCCGAATTTAGAACATTTGATATAACTGCATGAAAAATAAAAATACAATCAGACACTGATTTTCCTTTTTGGAAACCAAATTGTTCACTACAAATTTTATCATGTTTTATTGACCACTTACTAAGTCTATTTAACAATATCTGGGAATAAATTTTCGCAAGAATATTAATAAGTGTAATCCCTCTGTAATTTTTAGCATCATTAACATCTCCTTTTTTGAAAACAGGCGTAATGATACCCTCCCCCCAAACTTTAGGATATTCACTATTAATAAACAATCTATTGTAGAGTTTAAGCAACAATGGAGACATGATATCGTAGGCTGCTTTAAAAATTTCACATGTTAATTTATCATAGCCTGGTGATTTATTATTATTTTGAGAAAATATAGCTTCCCGTAACTCGCACTCATTAATTTCTGCGTCTAGATCTTCATCAATTAAGTTATCATTGAATAAAAAGTTTTGATTTTCATTTTGGCTTTCCTCGCCGAATAGTGCCTTAAAATGGTCATATAGTTGTTCAACATTTAATGTATCAGTCTTTTCTTTATCATCTTTATAAGTATTTTTTATGTTTTGCCAAAATTTCCGGGGTTGAGATTTAGCTAAGTTATTTATTCTTAAGCCTTCTTTTATTTTGAACTTATGTCTTGCAGATCGTTTAATTTTATTATAACGCGTTCGCGTATGTATAAAATGGAGGCGATTATCAACTGTATTGTGCCTATTAAAAACATTACGTGCTTTCTTAAATTCCTTTTTTGCCTCGAAGCAATCCTTATCAAACCATTTTTTGCTTAATTTTCCATGTTTATGATTTAAAATTCGCTTTGTTCCGAACACATCGAATGCATTGTCAGATATGAATTGTGAAATATTTTGTACCACGTGGTCTATTGGTTGATCTATGACCTCTTGAGTAAGTTTTAAAATATCGTCATTTCTATCTAAAAGTTGTGATCTAAACAGGGGTATTTTTTCTTCGTCCCACGAAATCTTATCCTCGCTGGGATGAATACCCGATTCTGCTATTCGAGATGTACATTCTTTCTTTTTTACAAGGGTAAATGAGAGAGGAGAATGGTCAGAAAATTCGTTAAAATCTTAAATTTTAAAATGTTGTAATAATTGAAAATCAGTAAAATTCAATAGCAAGTAATCAACGGTACTTAATCCTCTACCTGAACAAAATGTAAAGTTACCCCTGTTACTGTCGCTTAGCAGACGGCCGTTTGCTATTAATAGACCAGTTGTTTGACAGGTATCGAGTAAACGCCTACCATAACTATCAATCACGTGATCTTTGTTTACGCGCGTTGTGATATCACGTGTGTTTACAAATGTCAAATTATGATCCAAATATTTATCAAATTCTATGAAATCAGGTTTGTCTGATGTTCTACTATTTAGATCACCACAGACGAAGACTTTACCTAGATCGCTATATTTCAAGATGTCTATTTCTAATTGTTCGAAAAAATCAAAGTTTACATACATTGATACTTTTGAGTCAACAGGCGGTATATAAACATGACATATATAAACATCGTCTTCAAAGTTAAACAAACCAGCACTTATCTTAACCCAAATAATTCCATGATTATTTTTTTCTATTACTTTAACAAATTTCTTGATATTTGATTTATAATAAAATGAAATACCTCCGCTAAATCTTCCCTTTTTAGTGTTTGAGGACTTATTACCAAAGATATGTTCTACACAATAATCATTTATATTTAAATTTGAAGTGTCATTCATTGATATCCATGTTTCATTAAGAAAAATAATGTCATATCCAGATATATATTCCAAAAAGTCACAATCTATTAATTTACGCTTTAATCCGTTAATGTTCCATGATATGATGGTTAAATGTTCTTCTTCTTGACCTTTCTAATGTTGAGAACTCACTTCCGGGATATATTCTTCTCCATCTATGAACAACTTCTCACCAACAAATCTAACGTGTTTTCCAGCATCTTTCGCTTTCTTCATTGCAGGATAAAGTGGTTTTCTGGCTTCTCGCAGCTGTTTTGGTAGTTGTGCGCCAATCCCCAATTTTACCGAATTAAGATCTCCAGCATATTCAAACGATCTTGCTCTTATCTTATCCTTTTCTTTAGGGTAGTGAAATTTGGCAACAATTGGTCTGGTGGATTTTGATGACGTCATTCTGCCCATCCGATACGCTCTATCGATTGTAATTCCTTCTACTACTTCCGGGTCCATTTTCAATTTGTCTGTCATTATTGATTTTACTAGATTTATACAATTTTCATCACTTCCTCCTTCTTTAATGCCATAGAACATAAGATTGTTCCTCATTTGATTCATTTCTATTTCAACTAGTTTTGTGTTAAGGTTTTCCTTCTGTGATTTCAATTCAAGTGTCTCATTTTCTAAGTATTGGCATGATTTTTTCATTTGCTTTATTTCTGAGTTGGTTTTTTTTTAATTCTGCAGTATTTTTCTCGCTCATATCTGCTGTAAATTCACAAAGTTTTTCAGTTTCTGTGACACGCAAATCCAAATTGTTGATTTTTGATTCCATAGCTGTTATTTTAGAGTTTTAGTACTCACAGTGTCACCAACTGACTGTAGCTTTTGCTTAATTTGTTTGACCTCGTCTAGGAGTTCAGACGCCCAAGATGGTTGGGTAGGGATGTTGAAAGCTCCGCCATTAAATTGTGAGTGGGTGGGGCTTGTCATGTATGGAGCCATGGCGAACGGTGGTTGTGGTGGGAATGCCATTGTCAAATATGTATTAGAATAGTTTTCGTAGCTTTCTAAGTCACTTACACATTGCACATCCCGCTGTCTATGTTTCTTTGTTGACTGACTTGTTTTTGTCTCTACACACGTATTACTTCCATGTACATTATTGCACGAAACACTCGTGTAGTCCGATAACAAAGGCGAGGTAGCTGGACGTTTATTTTTCCTTGTTTTTGTCGATGTTGAGTTATTAACCGGTGTTTTATTATTATCCGACATTAGCTAGGTATATCAAGAAGTACATTCAACTATTTAGTAATCCAAAAAGTCCTTTATAACTTGTAAATTTGAATTTTTTCACAGAGCGGTAAAATTTTACATCTCACTGTACACTTGTCACGTGATATAGAAAACTGTATTGATATATATGTAAAACTTTTATGGTTTTTTTTTACTTTATTTTTTTTAATTTTATTTATGAACTTATTAACTTCTTTATTTATTAATATTTTTTTTTTTTGGGGGGGGGGGGGGATTCTCATAAATCCAGACAGATAGGAAAAAGTCAACAGATACGTAAGAGATTTTATGCATCAGTTATGCACCCATGTAGGTTTCTCACAGAGATTGTAATCGGGCGTTGGTATAATTACACACTCCTAGTGGCAAAAACATAGATCATTTAGCAGTTATTGGTTCATTTTTTCTCGGGTTAACATTTGGAACAAAGGGAAAAATACAAGAGAGAAAAATCACTGACAAAAGTATTTTTTGCTGATTTCTGTTACGAAAGAAAATATATGAAATTGCGATAAAACAGATAATATATATGAAACTATGTTAGTAACGTGGGTATAACACCGACTCGGTGACATCTTGGGATGTTTCTGCCGGACTTACGGCCTCGACATTTTCTCTTAGCAGAAACATCCCTCCATGTCCGCCAGCAAGTGTTATATCCCTGTTATTAACTCGTTTCATATACTTTAACTATTGCTAATACATAGAAATTGTCTTTTTTGATAAAAAAATGGTACAAACGACATTGAAAGCAACAGACGCTAAACTCGAGAACAAGGTCAATAAAAATTATTTTATCTGTCCTTTATCTTTGTCATTGTGTAGCGTAAAATCTATAATGTGTTTTGATTATATTTTCTTCCCCTGTAATTCTTTGCAGCAGTTATAAAAATTATGTTGGCTCTAAATAGGTCAAGCAACGCATCTTACATCTATTAGCAGATCTATTACAGACCGTCCAGGTGCCCTCGCAAAATACATTAATCGTTTCCAAGCTTTGTAGTTTAATCTCATAAAGACCATAAAGTTCTCCAAAGTATTTGCCACTTGCAGAAATATCTCTGCAATCAACATTGAAATCTGAAGAGTTAAATTAGCATCAACATTAACGGCAAATATATCACTGTATGATAAGCCTGACATCTATGACATTTATGACATTTAGAATTATAAATGACTGTAAAAACACCAACAACTTTCAAGAGACTGCTTTGTCACAAGTTTGAGACCATTGAAGTAAAATGTCCGGGAAATGTATTTTGATACATAGGTTGATAGAAGAAATACAATGTTTTAATAATCAAATTTTGGGCATTTGTAAAACATTGGTGACACAAAAGTATCCACTATGCAGTTTACGATTTTAAAAAGCTTCTTTTCAATTGCATGCTCCAAATATTCATTATATTCGGATAAACTAAATACGATTTGAATATGTTAATTATTTCTAGAATAATGATGATAACAAATATAATGTCATAGATCAAAACCAAATACTAACGACTTATCCCGTCGAGTAAATTGTATTACACTTATTGCATTTGACAACGCTTGAAAACCTTTTCTTTCGCATCCAATACATTGATATGTAACCGGTTGATACACGCTTGTCAGACATTTGTTGTGCAGGAAACATATTTTGCTACAAGCCATCTCATCAGAAACGTCGTTTAGGATAAACAAATTTTCGGATGAAGAACACGTGATTACGGTAGCTTTATCTTCGTAGCGAAATTTTGTCCAATCAATGTTTGTTGCAGATATAACGTTCAATAAAATCACAAACGTCCATACGGACAACAACATAGCTGTCGCTTTGAATGCGTTCGTTTTCTACAAAGTAAATATGATCGTTATCAAGAAATATGCATTCATTGTTAACGAAATAGTGATTATGTTTTGAGGAAGAAATATGAAAATATTTAAGCATGATAATTATTTTTACTGAAAATGAATAAATTGCGTTTCACAAATACATCTCCAAATAATCTAAGTGTTCCATTTGGATTTAAATTATGTTCATAGATGTTACATGTAAAAGCGTGCAGACGCCCAACGAACAAAAAAGTCAAATTGAAAATCATCAGTAACGATTTACTGTAATTAGTGTTTTAACGAGAAGTATGCCATAAAAAATATAATGCAGCTCAACTTTTAAAATTAATGATCCTGTTACACAATTTTTTTTATGGTTTTATATCATAAATATAATGCTCAAATAAAGATTTTTCAATTTTGTAAGGTAACGAAAAAATATTTTCTTTAAAGTCTAAGTAAATTTTTTTCAATACGAAATGAATGAATACATTTTAATGATTATAATTATATAATATGTACAAATATTTGCAGTACATATTTTACTTATTCTCCGATGTTTGAAAAATGTTTTATAGCATAATTATTTAAATATATATAATTTCACTTAAGTGTGGTATACAACCTCAATTACAACATACAGGATCTTTAACAATTAAGTTAATTCTTCTACATTTTATACTTTTAACTTTATAATTTTATCAACTGTATGTTTCGACTGTTTTAATGATGCGCTTGAAAACAGAAGCAAAGAAACAACTTGACGTTTGACGTTCTACAGCTGGGCTTCGCGAACTTTGCTCGAACAAATGTAATTTCAGCATAAATTTATCATTGCGGTGTATGATTTTACCAAATCAATATACCAAAAACAAACAAAATATGACCTTCATATTTCATTAAATCTATAAAATTTGGAAAATAAAAATGCGCACCAACACAAATTTCGGTACATCACTCCCAATGCTAGTGGTGGGCATTGTAATTAAATAGAGTATTACTTTTACTAATCTTTTAATATGAATAATTCGTTTCTTATTTTTTCAATGTAATTTTATTTCAATGTGTTTATCAGTCATTTTTTGAGTATATTAGTACATGCATTTAAAAACCGCAAGTTAAATCATTACTTAAAATGATCTCTCACAGAATAAATGACCCTTTTATAAAGGGCTGTTTTCGTATATCGCTTAAGCCGATAGGCAGGGCTCTATTCCAAACAACTGTTTATATATTGCCACATCACCTGTCCAAATTATTTAGAACGACTTTATAATGCAGCAAACATCCTTTATCTCAGGAACAAATTCGTGCATTTAGTACATATAAACGTCACGATTAACCAATGAAAAGCGATGCTACAATCGTACAGTGTTATAAATGAAATTGTATACGTGGCACTGCCTATAACTTGCTGTCATAATTATTGTTCATATAAATAGTACATGCCTTTACTTTATAAAAGACATGCATTATTAAATGTCTGACGTTCAATCAATCAAGCCTCTTATCAAACGGGTTGGTCTGCAATATATTCAATTTCGTTATTTGTTCATATTTCATTCAAAATATGGAAGACGTAGTGAAATGCTTTGGATAGTGACCTCCAAATTATTTTCTATAAAACATTTGTTAAGGGAATACCTTCAGTTGTTTTGCAATGCAAACTTTTACCAAGAATTGTCTGAGTACACAAACGGCATAATTATTGTACTTATTGGCAATTGACTATTACCTCGAAGACATGAGTTTATGTCAAGTGAAGTTTTGCAGAAAATGTAGCACACCTAAATTATACCAATTATTACACATCAGGTAAATTAGGTTGGTCGCAAATTAGGTCAATTTCATTTAACCTACTGTATAATATCTGCATTTACAATGAGGTTCTTAATAATTTTTTGTGCGTTTGTGTGCGTTGTTATAGTTTGATTTTAATATTTTGAGTGGCAAAAATTTGAAATGATAACGTTGAAATGAAAAAGTCCGAGAAAAAAATCACAAGCGTTCCCTTTTGCCCGATCAAAAAAAAAAGTGCACTTCGGTTTGTCCGTGTAGTTTACGAGAATTAATATAGAGTAAATAACTTTGAAATGTCAAAGCAGATTAAAGTAAAGGTCGTCGTCAAGTCCACAGTAGCACAAATGGTTAAATGTTTGTCTGATATATAACAGGTCTGTGGTTCGATCCGTACTGTGGCCATTATGTTTTGACATACTTTTTTATTTTTGCAGTTTATTTTAATGAAAATGTCCGAGTGCTTGCAAAATTGTACACATGGATAAGAAGCAACATGCAAACACTATGATTTTTCTCGATTTGTATTGTGTTTTAAGGCAATGAAATTACATTCTTTTTGCAAATGAATTTGAAATATTAAACAATGTTATTTCCAAAAAAGGTAGATTTTACCAAAATGAATGCAAAACATATTAAAACAAAACGAACAACATAAAAACATTTTATAGCTTCAATAATGTTGACAATTAAAGTAAGAAAAAAACATGAACATATACATTCGCTATAACGCTCAGTATAATTATTTGTTCACACAAATTAAATTAAATTAAATCGATCTCCCTCCGTACATCTCA